TGCACAAACAAGCTGAAGCTGTCTGTCATGGTTGGAGCCATCAGTTGCATCATATGCTCATACCTTCGCGGGAAAAAGAAGCAGCAAACAAAGTATACAGCTGCAAAATGTGTCATCGTCAGTATGTTACTCTGTTACACAACAACAATGAAAGAAACATCAGATCTTGCAGTGGCACTTTAAACCATGATCTCCCATACATGCAGCCGGTGGAGGCTGCACAGTCGGTGCCGGCATGTAGCCTCGAAAGAGTTGGAGACAGGTTCCCTCACAGTTTTGATCCAAAGCGTAAGTGGCAGAATGCGTAACACACAGAATGAATCAAAGCACCTGATACAGTATATACAATTATGTGAAGGCGTGCCAGAGCGTGTCTGAACTGTCGGGAAGGTTCAAGAGGGACATGGCTGTGTGATGCTGCATGTGTTTGTGCGTGTATCTAGAGGTGGGCCGGGGCTTTGGTGGTGGGGTTTGCTGACAGTTCTCATGCACGCAGTTCCAGGGCTGTAGTAGGTTTCCTGAAGCACTCAAGGACACCGGAATCCAGGTAGTAGAAATCGAATTTGACAAGAGGCTGGGAACCTGACAGACCACCCAAATCAATCACCAAAATCACCAAACTTCATCACAAGCAAAAAGACATGGTGCCATCGGGAATCCATGCGCAGTGACCACAACTGCATAAGTCCCCCTTTGAATCCTCGATTATGATAAATCTGCCAAGAAATAGATTTCTAGTAATGCTAGACGGGGTTTCATTAACGATGTCGTGCTGCAAAGTGGGCACTCATGCTGCACTGCATCATCAGAGAACATCAAGGGTGACTAACACCTCAAAGACTTCAAACGCCAGCAAAAAACACCATCTAAGTTTGTCACAGCTCCAACCTAGTCCCGATGGCCTCCCACCTGATAGCTATGGCTTTCAACCTAATAGCAATGGCCTCCAACCTAATCGCGATGGCCTCCCACCTAATCGCGATAGCCTCACACCTGATAGCTATGGCCTTCAACCTAATCGCGATGGCCTCCCACCTGATAGCTATGGCCTTCAACCTAACCTAATAGCAATGGCCTCCAACCTACTCGCGATGGGCTATGGCCTTCATCCTAATATGGCCTCCCACCTGATAGCTATGGGCTGCCACACAATCGCGGTGGCCTCCCACCTAATCGCGATGGCCTCCCACCTGATAGCTATGATACAGGTGAAATGCCTGGTCCAGGCATGGGCTATTGACATACTCTTGAAATGCCACTTCGTTGATCCTCTTATGGATGCTGGTGCCACATTTTGGTGCACTTGAGGTACCCCTTTGTCTCCTCAAAGCAGTGTTGGTCTTTGCCAGGGTTTGTCAGGGTCTGGTTGCGCAACAGAGTCTTGATGTTCTGTGCTCTGGTGGGCTTTTTGGTGAGTGGGGCAGCCTCTGGTCCTGATTCGTGGCTGGTGGTGTCAGCTTGCAGCTGTGGGCAGGTTTCCTTGAGCCTGTCCTCAAGTATAGGCCTTGGTGCGTGCGGGTTCCGCAGGCACTGCAGTGGTATCCACTGCGGTGTGGTTCCCAGCGATGCTGGTTCGGCTGCCAGGGCCTGGTGCACTGTTTCACCAGATCCTTCTTGTGTTGCTTAGTTTGTTTGCCCTGCTGCCTGGGTGCCTTGCAATAGATGTAGTGCTGTTTGTCCTCATAGATCTTCTCGAGCCTCCGGACAGCATGTTTGTTTGTAGATCAGTGCATGGTCCTGATCGAGGGTTTGCTGCCACTCAGTGAGTTTCCTGTCACGCATGGCATTTGCTCTTTCCCAGGCCGTCAGGGCTGCATCCCGTTGTCGCCGCCGGAGCTGAGGTTCGTTGCCGGGTGCATCAGGGGTCTTTGTGTTCCTGCTGATGTATAGGACAGTGATGCGTTTCCTTTCCTGGTTGGTGATGTTGTCCATATAAGGTCTTGGAATTGATGCTGGCGCGGGCTCTTGTGCCAGGCTTCCCAGACGGAACTGAGCTGGATGATGACCTTGACGGGGGTTGTGGTGTGTTTGGCCAATGCCACCAAAGAGGGCTCTGGGTTTGGTCTGTGCTCCGGTTGGGATGCCGGTGATGGCTCCGAGGCGTCTCAACTGTCCCATGGTTTGGGTGTGGACGCAGAGTCCAAAGACCCAGGCTTGACTTCTGGCATCGTAGGTTGAGGGTGTGGCATCAAGCGTGAAGGCCCAACCAATGCATTGGTCAGGTCCAATGGCCTGGAGAGTCTGCCAGATGCCATGCCCTTGATAGGGATGCTGCTGCTGTTTGTGATCTTGTGGTGTGGGCGGAATCCATCCCTTGGACCATAACGGCTCCTCTTCTGGGCAAAGTGATGCGTTCAAGCCATTCTGCCGGTAGCTTGCGTAGCCATAGGATATGTTTTGGTGTGGCGGGCACATGGCAGATGGGACAAGGTTTGGTCGAAGTGGTATCTCGAAACTGGAGGGCCCCTTGGACCCAGGTCTTGAGGTGTTGCTTTTGCCGCTCTGGTTTGGATCTGTCTGCAGACATGCCAGTCAATGCCTGGGATCAAATGTTGATGGTTCTGTCTCCCTGCCAATCTGCTTACACGTTGTTGTTGGGCCTCTTGGTGCAGAACGTGTTCAATCTGCCACCATGGTGCTTGGAGCGCGATCTCATTGCTCAGCAAAAACTGGGTTTCCTGCCTGGTCCAGTGCATGAGATTGTGGGTGTCCCAGTTCCATTCTTGCAGGTAGGCAATGGTGGCTGCCATAGGTCCTCGTACCGTGTACCAATCGTGTTGCTTTTGTTGTAGGGCTTGGTGTTTGCCCATGCTTGCCCCAAATGCTGCCATTGGTCTTCAGGCCAGGCCTGGATGAGTTGGTGCATGGCGCGGACGTGATGAATGATGACTTGGTCTGCTGGGTCCATGTACTTGTTGCTGTGAATATATCGTATGTGGCATCCAGGATGCTGTGGGCCCAGATGCTTGGCCAGTGCATGTCGAAGTGCTGTACGGTATCTGAGAGCGAGGCCTTGGCCTTCAACGCCCCAGATAGCCACTGGTTGTATGCCACCTCTGTGTAGTCTGAGTCTGATCCGTAGTGCAGGGGTTTTGAGGTTTCGGAGCTTGATCTTCCATTGTGTGGCTTTGTGTAGCCGCCGCTTCATGACTGGGATTCGCCTCACCCTGGCAGCCTGGTGGTCCACTCCAAGGTCACGCATGACTGTGGCCACTGGGGGCTCGTCTTCCCGAGCATAGCTTTGAGCTCTCTGTCTGTGAGTTTGTCTGTGGCAATGAAGGCGGTCTTTTTGGGGCTGACTTTGAGACCCAAGGAGGTGAGTCTTTGATGGAGGTCTCTGTATGCTTCAACTGCCTGTTTGGCACCTGTTGTGGGTGCTTCCCAGCTGTGTCATAGCCAACATCGTCAACCCAGCTGGAGAGATGGATGTGCTTGCGCTGCTCCTGCCATGGCGTGAGGGCTGGAGCTAAGACTGCTTTGGCCAGGAGTGGCGCCTGCGGACATCCTGCTGGTACTCCTTTGGTGACATGAAAGAAAGGAGTCATCTCCTGTTCAGCCACTATTGCCTTTGGGCCTGTGTACACCGCATTGCCATCTCCAGCATGATTGGTGGGTACTGGAGTGCCAGTGCCTGCTCTTGGAGGCGGTCCAGCTGGATGGTGGTAGAAGGTGGACATGTCCATAAGGACAGTGACGCCGTGCTGTCCATTGGCCCGGTAAACTTCTTGGCGAAGGAGCCGTTCCAGGGCAACCTGCAGAACATTTGCCCCTGGCCTGGCGCGGTCGTGGTTCATGTGGGGTGGTAGGTTGTGCTGCCACTCATCGAGCAGAGGTTTGCGGAGCCGACACCATACCCTGTAGAGGACTGAGGTCAAAGTGATAGGCCGCTCGATGGTTTGATTCTTTGGCAGCATTACCACCAAATGCATCTAAAGTTGGGTTGGTAATTGGGCTTTGGCTTCCATCTCTTGAATGAGCTTCAGTAGCGGTCCAAGGGAAAGCGGGGGTGCAGTTCTGAGGAGCTGTGCAGAGACTGCATCAGGGCCGCTGGCTTTGTCTGGTAGGCCTTTGAGGGTTTTAACTGTTGTGCCTGCTGCTGCGCTTGCGCCTTGAGGCTGGGTCGTTCAGTTGGCTGGTTGTCCTGTCGAATCTGCCAGAGCGTGCCCCAATCATGTAGGCGCTGCGTCATTCTTTGATCTGGTGGCAGCTGTCGGTATGGCCTCTGCCAAGGGATTTCACTGCTTTTGAAGCTTCTGAATAGGCCTTTGAGGCCTTTTGCTTGCCCTTGTTGGAGCCAGGCCTTGTATTGTAGGTGTCCTTCTTCGTTGGCAGCCTGTTGGGCCTCTTGTAACTGGTGATGCATGAGGATCACGGTACTGGTGCCAGTGGTGGCATGTGTCAAGAAATTGGCCCCAGGTGGGTGGGCCAAGCCATTGGGTTGGGACATCTTGTACGGCTTTCATGAACCCCTTGGTGGGTCCACCCGGCTGGTGCTGTGGCTGCTTAAGTGAATCTTGCCTGCAGCTGCTCCCAGTAGGCCGCTTTGCCCTTCTTCCACGTGCCTCCTGATTTGGGTGCCACCAATGGTTTCATAACCACCTGCAGGTTTGCTCCCCGGCCTTGGAGAATGTCCGGTGTATGTATGTGTGTATGTCTGTATGTATGTATGTCTGTCCGTCTGGCTGCCTGGCTGTCTGTCTGTCTGCCTGCCTGGCTGTCTGTCTGTCTGTCTGTATGTAAGTATGTGTGTATATGTATTATACTGTGTCATGTTGTAATATCTTATGCTAGTAAGTTAGTACGTATGTTCTGTCCTGTCCTGTCCAGTCCTGTCCTGTCCTCATGTCATGTCATGTCAAATCAAGTCAGGTCAAGTCATGTATGATATAGTTATATATATTATATCAACCCCAACCTTCCGTTACTCGGAGTGTCTATTCATCACTCATCTTCCGGCAGAATCGCCGCCACCGCGGTAACCCGGCGCCGCCCTGCGCCGCCTGATCGGCCAAAGGGTCATCACGCGAACGCACTTGAGAGACTTCAGCCCGTTTCAAGACCATGTCCACCACGTAGAGCGTGGACCGCAAATCCACCCGACTGGCACCAGCCTGGCCGCTTCGCACCGCTTCCGGCTGCGGGCCACGCGAGATTCGGCATGTGACCGGTGTGTTCAGGTGGCAACAGGTGGTTCAGGTTTTCGAGTGGCAACAGGTCGTTCTTCGAGGCGGCAAGGTTGGGTGGAAGATTGCTGAAGCGAACAAATCAACCTCATCATACCTCATCGATTCCACTGGTCTGGTGAACATGTGCCATAGATGATCATAGATGTGTCCTTTTTCCCGGCGAATGGGAGCTCACCCTGCTCACCAAGATTTCTGGACCTGACGAGAGAAGAACTCGACCACATGTTGTGAAGGAACAAAGCAAGTGAGTTGAGCTAACCTCCTCGGTTTCACTGGAAAATAGAGGTTAGCTGAACTTTCCACCAGTTCATGTCTACTGGGGTGTCCCAATCCCCCAAAACGCTTTGGCAGGTTATCCCCTGACTGGGTAGGGAAAGAAACCCGCCTCCATGAGGGACTTGATCTCTGCCAAGGCGAATCCACAGCAATCCTGTGACACGAATAGCAGGCGATCACGCCGCCACATGGGTCTTCTCAGCACAGAGACACATAGGCATGGGTATGGGTGTCTTGCCTGTTTTTAGATATTCTGCTAAGGTTTCAACCTCTAGGGGGTTGGTAGCAAATCCCGAATTAACCAAAGGGGCCAAGAGCCTACCAAGGAAGGAAAAACGAGGTGTTCACTTTGCACCATCTTCCAACAAAAAATGGGTGGGACAGTGCAGGGAGAGAACAGCTTGGCTTCGGAAATCCTTTTCTACAACACCCTCCAAATGATTGGCGAACCCCGCCAAATCGGTTCTACAACACCCTATCTTCAGCAAAACCCGCCTGCGTGATTCAAAGGGAAGAGTCAAGTTGAATGTCCGTGGCTTTTCCATGCGGATCTCTGATCCGGAGGGTGATGACCTCCCCGACTCGAAAGCGATTGGATCCGAGAAAAAGGACAACTCGATGCCCGAAACAAGATGGGAAAAAGGACTAGCGCCTGAAAGCAATTGCAAGGGTTAATGCCTCCAATCGTTTCTTAATCTTTGAATCACCTGTGGTAACCATCATGTAAAATGTTGATTATATATATATATATATATATATCCGCCAACCCCCGCCGTTGCAAGGGGGAGCGCGCCAGGGATTACGGGTAGCTGTTTGGGGGCTCATGGTAGCTGTTTGGGGGCTCATGGGGCGTTTGGCATCGAAAGTGCGACCATGAGAGGCTCGTTTTGGAC